CTATGTACAAGTGAAGCTTGAAATTGGCGGAATGAGGAGAACAATGCTCTGCTGTTTGTGAGGGTCAGCTAATGACAACCTCCCAACAGCCCCCAAACCTAATGCTGGGAAACTAGCAAAAAAAAAACTGATTTCACATACTTGAAGATCATTCATGCAAAAAGTGCGTCATGTATGCAAATTCACCTGATGACATTTCATTGGTGCTGAAATAATAGCCTGAATGAATTGGGTTTTATGAGGTTGTTGTGTTTTATGAGGATTGGAGATACGAATTTATAAAGGGTTGATGGATTTCCTTTCCATTTTCGCGCAGCGCTTTTGTTTCACATTTCATCTAGCTACAATAAAAACAAAGACAGCATCGATTGTCAATTTTGCAAATTAGGCTGGCTATTTTTTGCTAATGATTTAAATTTTCCTTTAAATCTTTCCACAACATTTTACTCATGAGAATTCACCCATTTTTAATTAAGCCTATTGTATATTGTCGCATTTACTGAAACAAACAAACAAACAAACAAAACAAAAACCCGTCAAAATGATTTTAAATCAGAACACCCGAAAAGCGACATTTAGACTTGTGCAATATGCTATTTCGAAATGTCAATAATTAAAAGTGGTAGACAATTATTACTTTATTTTAATATTGCATAAACAATTCCTATCATCCAAATGAAAAGTTGTAGATAGTTAATATTTCAATTTTAACATTGAATGAACAAACCATTCCCTCCAACTTAAGTGTATAAACCCCCATGCACGCCCTTTCTATTTCAGTCTATGGGACCCAGTGGTGCATTGGATCCGCATTGCTGTGACTGATCTGCTGTATAAAAGCAGAGATTGTTCCTCGCGTGGGATGAAATACTCGCACCTCTTTGCATATGGTCAAACTTGTTGCTCCGCATAATGACACAGGACAGAAACACATGGATGAGCTGGTGTCAATTGTTGAACCCCGACAGATGTGATCAGCTTGAATACACTGATTGGTGGCGTATGACTCAATATCAGCAATTAAAAATAAAAATAAAAATACAAATTACAACTCATAATTGTTAAAACTGAATTTCATTTCAATGTCATATATGTAAAATCAGTTTTATAACTCTGCACTTTTATTATTATTCTTCCCAAATTTTCACTGTCGGAATCAATCCAGAATTATTAATAAAGAGATGATGGCTGACATTAATGTCGAGAAAAAGGACTAATTATCCACGGTTACACTGCTATTAATCACGCATGATAACTAAAAAAATGTAACAAAACAAACGGATGAATGTTTATACAGCATTGAAATCATTATTCACGTTTGAAAATGTAACAAAGCTGCTGATGTATAAACACACTAGACAATATATATATATATATATATATATATATATATATATATATATATATATATATATATATATATATATATATATATTCCTGTGTGTATGAATATAATTGCATTCAAACAATAAAAAGCTATATTAACAATCTACTTTTCAAGTATCTTTGTGCAGTAAATTATGAGATAAAGAATGCTCTTTCATGTAAGATATATTATTGAGAAAGAGAGTTTAACAAAAGTCTTACAAAGAAAAACGAAAATGTTACTTTTGCACAACAAAGACTGGCAGATAAAAAAAGAGAAGAAGAAAGACATGCGTGAATATGATTACAAGCAGCTTGGTTGAACTGGAGCTGAGCGACTTCACCAAAATCATTGGGTAGTACAGTACAGTAACTACTGTACAGTGATATTAAACAACGCGTTTGTTTTAATCCATCCGAAATTAAACTATTGTTTAATCCATGTCTTATTCCTAAATAATTTATCAATCTCAGATAATGCTCTAGTTAGCTAAATGGAATTGAACACAACGTCTGCGTTCATATAAACGCACTTTCTTACAGAAAATAAGCATTAAAATAGGCTACGGATGAAGCGTTTAAATAAATAAGCGGCGCGGTGTTTTGCGGACTCGGTTCGGCCCGAGACTGATGTGGTGCTGGCTGACAGTGTGTGGTCTTATTGAGACCCCCATCCCCCTGTTTCCCTGCACCTGCACTGGATCATTCACCCAATGAGAGACATCTCTGACAGTTCTCAATTCAGCCCATCTCACAATGCCCAGTGCCCCTCCATCACTGCTGCCCCCCTCCCGCAAAAACCGCCACAAGAAACAACTTATTACTTTCTCCAAATAGTTTGCGCCTTTCTCCACCCATTTACTACCAGCGCCAACAGACACCAAATTACAAACACAAAAGCACTCACGCTACGCATAGATGTTTACAATTTAAGTGATTCAAGATCTCTCTCTCTCTCTCTCTCTCTCTCTCTCTCTCTCTCTCTCTCTCTGTGTGTGTGTGTGTGTGTGTGTGTGTGTGTGTGTGTGTGTGTGTGTGTGTGTGTGTGTGTGTGTGTGTGTGTGAAATTAAAAATAAATGAATTACCCTAGAATAGCCTATTTGCGCATTTGAGCTAACACAATAGCTGATATTTTAATAAACTGGTTAATTAGCATGGCATGTACTAATAAGCGAGCACTAATAACTAATAACAAATACAAACCGACAGTAGCCTAATATTATAATCATATTTAGGCTATTGTTTTATCGTAGGCTAATAATAATTATTACTTCAAGTTGTATTTGAGGTTTATTTTTCTGCTGTTGTAAAATGATTACATTATGATTATAACTAATATTTGCGCACATCTGAATTAAAATAGTACTGTCGAGTCTTGTTTTGCAGAACCGAAATGCAATACATTTTATAATAAGTCTGACGCCCGTTAGGCCTAAGTGGAGTAACACCGGCCGTGATTCAATAATAAAATTAAAAAATAATCCCGCCTTATTGTCATCTGAGGCGGATCTTTAAAAAGTTCAGATTTCAGCCAAAACAATAGGTTACATATATCATTCTGTTCAGCTTCCTGTGGAAAGGTTCCTCGGGTTAAACAAGAGAGTTTTGAGTAAAGTCGAGCGCTTACCACCTGTTGCTCTACAGATATCTGCTGCTCGCTTTCGCGGGTTTTTGCAGATTTCGCGCCATCTAATGTATTCCTTCAGATAAACGCTTCTTTTCAAAAAGAGGGAAACGAGTAAAAACACAATTGAAAAAAGGTTTTTATTGTTGGTCCCTAAAGTAAATCTAAACCGGCTCTTTAAATAGACCCTTTTATTGTTTTTCGTTAAAAATGGCCTAATTTATCTCGCGTTCAACAACAAATAACGCTTCACATGATACGAACTCGTCAACCATGTTGCCATTATAATTAATTCGAGTCATTTAACATATAATCCAAATCATCGCATCACTGTTTTTATCTAAAAAAAAAATTCTCACAACATGGCGTCATTCCAAATATGTCCGGCCTCAAAAATGAGTAATGTAAGTTTCTGTAAATTAGTATTTCATGAAAGAAATCCACAGCCACTCTTGGGGAATATGGTCATAAATAGCGCCAGATTATGATTCTTATCCTCCTGGCGTTAAATAGCCTTTTTGTTACATAACAATCTTGTTTCGGAGGTACAGGTGCAAAGAGCCTTAAATCCCTCAACACAAACTCAGCAAGAACAGTTTCCTTTGATAGCTATTCTGGCGTAGCCCATTAATATAGGCTACTTCAATGAAGAACGCTCATTTTCGTCCACTCACGTCCAGACTTAAATTCCCAGTTTATCAAACAGATTCAGCCATTACAACCAATTCCTCTGCTTGTATAAATAATGGATTCAAGCAGTGCTCCCTGACCCTTTGAGAGTCCGGCAGGGACACGTTTGTCGGAATGAGCCCTCGTCAAATATTCATTTAGCGCTTAATGTGAGCCCTTCTCCCCCGAGACCCGCTGTAATAGATGCCTCAGTGCTTTGGCAAGAAACAGCACTAATCTACCACAGAGCAGCAAAATATTCGAGCACACTTCAGATTTTTAAACTCCTCACATCCACACACGTAATCTTATCTTTAGCTCGTTTTCAAGACTGACAGATACACAGCACCGAAATTCACCAGCAGCAGGTTCTCTGTGGCCTGCGGTTGTAAACGGTGTCAAACACTAAACCAGTGTTTTAATACATTAACATTAATGCAAATGCAAAGCCTGTGGGGCCTGTGAAGCGCACAAATAAATCGAGAGACACCTAATATTTTTTGTTGTAATGGTTTTAATTCGGCAGCACGCTGAGCTAAATTTTCAGCGTACTATTTTTTTAATAAATAAATACGCATCTAATGTATGCTAACTTAAAAAAAACATTTTAATATGCGAGTACAAATGTATAAACCCATATGCATTATATAAATTACGGGCTGACATATATAAAGATGCAAATGTCATTGACTGTATTTTTTTAATTTTTATAAATACTTAATTATTTGCATTATAATTGTCATTATTTAACATTCGCATTTTAAAAATGATGACAGCTCAAAAATGAAAATATGTAAACTGCGCGCAGAAAAAAAACTAAACGTGCAGGCTTTATAAATCGTTGCACTCATATAAAAAATATAGAGAGTTTATAAAGTAAATGACTACCTTGACGTGCGTTCTTCATTGCATTTGGGCCGTTTTATGTCCCCAAGCAGAGCAGAGATTTACAGGCAAAACATAAACGCTGTGGTGTCGCTCCTCGTTTCCACTAAAAAATAGAAACGGTGTTAACTCACTAAATTTAAATAGCATCTAACATTTCATTTGTTTGACTGAAACAACAAAGCCAGACAGTTTTAACCGTGTGCATGCAATTTCAATGGAATACTTACTTTCAAAAAGCTGCACTCGTGTGTCAGTGTGCCATCTTATAAAGACAAATTAATGCAAATAATGCATAAACTTGTGGTTAATCATTTGTTTGAGCTAGAGTTAGTGAATGCACATTATTAAACCGTATAAGTGACATTTTCGTTTGTTTTGTTTGAGTAAATCAAACAACAAATATCATATTAGAATTGCAACCCAAATGGTAAACAAAATCAAAACCAGAAGCAATTTCAAATATCCAAATTTCAAAAATTTATTCATTTCAAACTGCATTGGAAAAAAAACTCATCTTGTAACTGTTATAATGATGTTATTAGTTAAAATATATACATGGAGCGTTGGCAACTGCGTACAGGCCACATTTTACAACTACGAAAAATGAAAGTTTTAAAATAAAAACTTAAAATATCACAGAAAATGTACAGAAAATTTACAAACCATGAGAAAATAAAGAACACAAACTTCATATATCTAACAGATGAAGAGTGGGAGACCGAAAATAATCAAGTGGAAATTAAAAAAAGCTGGAGAGTGCCTCTGTTCGTTCTCTCATTTAGAACTTAATAATAATAATAATAATAATAATAATAATAATAATAATAATAATAATAATGATTTATTACTATGTACCTTCAGTGAGAAACTCTTTAAATCCAGTTTTCATGTCAGCCTTTGCAAAACTTTGACGTAAACATCAGTTGTGCATCAATTTCTTGCACAATTTTTTATAATTTTTTTAAAACTTTCTGCTGTTTACAAACATTACATCTCGTTGTTGTTATTACGCTTCTTTTTTTAGATAAATACTGTACAAAAAGTCGATTGCAATAATAAAACATTTGATTCATTCTCCCCCCGCTTGTCAACCATGTCCAAATCTCATACACCTTTTGGAAACAAAACAGAACTGAAAAATCTAAATTAAAAAAATAATAAAATAAATCAGAAGAGAACAAAACAAAAACTGTGTGGAGTTCCTACCGTTCCTCTTTTTTTTAGTTTGTTTGTTTGTTTGTTTGTTTGTTTTTTAAATAGAAAGCAAAAGTTTTGTGTTCTTTCCTTGAGCTCTATACAACTTTTTCCCTCCCCAAAAGAAGTGTTCTGTACAAAAATAGTCCAGCAGTGTAGTAAAAAGAGTTCATTTTACATATGCGATAAGGGAATCGTGCCGTTAATCGTCGTACCGGGCACAGGTGCGCTCTGGTAATGTTGGGACATGTGCAGTCTGCTCTGAGCGCTCTGGTCCTGCACCTCCGCCCCGGGCAGGTACATACTGATCATGTCCCGCAGGTCCCCCGTTTGGCACTGTCCGGCCCGGGAATGAGACGACGACGTGACCACCGGCGGACTCGAACTAGACTCGGACTTGACCACCGAGCCCATGGAGCCCAGCGTCATTCCCGGCGTGCTTTGCTGCGAATAGGACATGCTGTAGGTGGGCGAGCCGTTCATGTAGGTCTGCGAGTTGGTCATGGAGTTGTACTGGAGCGCGCTCATGTCGTAGCGGTGCATGGGCTGCATCTGCGCCGTGTTGTGCGCGTTCAAACTCGGGTGCTGCGGGTAACCCAGCTGCTCCTGCATCATGCCGTAGCCTCCGTTGGTCCAGCCGTTCATATGCGCGTAGCTGTCCATCCTCTGGTTGACCCCGGCGCCCAAACCGGCCCCTACACCCACGCCGGCGCCCATGCCGTTGCCGCCCGGCGCCAGGAGCCCGCCCGGCAGGGTGTACTTGTCCTTCTTCATCAGGGTCTTGGTTTTCCTCCGGGGTCTGTATTTGTAATCCGGGTGTTCCTTCATGTGCAGAGCCCGAAGGCGTTTGGCTTCGTCGATGAATGGTCGCTTCTCGCTCTCGGACAGAAGTTTCCACTCGGCCCCGAGTCGCTTACTTATTTCCGAATTGTGCATTTTGGGGTTCTCCTGTGCCATTTTCCGCCGCTGTCCCCTCGACCACACCATGAAGGCGTTCATGGGTCTCTTGATGCGGTCCGGGCTGTTTTTCTGGTTGTTTCCCGAGGAGTTGGTGTTCCCCGTGCCCCCGGTGTTGGGCTGGGGCGCCGGGGGCTTCAGCTCGGTTTCCATCATGTTATACATTTAAACCGATTTTCTCGAAAGTCTACCCCACCAGCCGTAAAAATAAAAAATAAAGAAGTCCAAAAAGTGTGTGGAGAGGCTGCTGAAGTTACCTTAGCAGTTGGAGGTAACTTTGCTGGGAAAAGAAGCGCTCTTAGGTCCTGTTGTGCCCACAAACTTCTTTTCTTAGTCTTGAAGAATCAACACAAACTCGGTTTCCCTCCTCGCCAGAGCCCTTGTCAACTCCTGATACTTTTTGAACAAGTTAATAGACAACCATTCATAGAGCGACTGTCAGCGAATATAAATGGGTTTGTCGCTGACCAATCAGAGCGCGTCTGCTCCCTCGGTTTGCATAAAGGGGCGGGGTTACGGACGGTCAGCAGTGCAGCGCAGAGCCACAGGCAGTGGCTGTGAGTGTGTGTGTGTGTGTGTGTGTTTATGAGAGAGCTAAAGTGAGAATATTTCACACAAACCATTTTCCAATCAAACTCTGTATGATCTTAAGATTCTAAATAAACATTTAAAGTTTTATTATTAGTATTATTATTATTATTATTATTATTATTATTATTATTATTACTATTATTATTTATCGCTTTGTTTTTAGTGTAAGTTTGCGTATTCAACACATCAGTTAAACTCTTAAAGCACTGAAAATAAAATAAAGATTTTTTTAAGTTAAAACGGCAAGCTCATAATATTAAAAACTTCCAAAATAATGCGTGAATAAGCCGAATAAAATATAGCTATTTATTATTTAGTTCGCATTTAAAAATGAGCAGCGGCTTGTTTTATTAACGAATACAATAAAGTAAACGCAGGCGCACGAATTTAAAAGGTGTCATTTTAAAAACACTCGTTCTTGAGACATTATCCCAACTAACATGCCTGTATTTATGCCACTACACTTCAACCGGCTCAAGCTGAATGTGAATTAGAAAATGGAGGCCCGTCAATCATCACAAATAGGTAGTTTTGTTTCGGCTGTTGTCATTACATCACTCTGAACAAAAGCACGACAAAAGCCGACTACACTGACCATCTGAGTTGTAAGGATTTGTGTTATTAGGATTCACTCCATGAAGAGTGACAGGGGGAGAGGGTTTATTCAGCACAGCCTCCTTCAAAATAACAAGAGCACGGGCGCTTTGATTAAATCCAATTATTTGTATAATAACTAAAAACACAAGGAGCTATTTTTTGCCCAACACATCTATTCTCCGAGAATTACGATTAAAAGCTGATCATTCTTCCTGCAGAAGTTGACTTTACTCGACAAGAGTGGAACTAATATACAAACAGGCTTAATGTCAGGAGGAAAAAATGCCTATTTTATATTTTTCTTTTCCACGAAAGCATGTTTTATGTTTCAACAGCGTCCTCTTGCGGTCACACTGATACAAACTCGTGCTCCCTCAACATTTTCCACATGCACGCAGTTATTTTGGATTGCTTTATAAATAAGTTTTAGTCGCTGTACTTTTTATATAATTAGCGGGAGATAAAAAATAATAATTACACAAAACAAACAACATAAATTCCAACAATAATACTTATTTTTTTAGGGTTGCATGCATGAATAAATAAACACTCTCTCAGCGTCGTTTTAAACTTGTAAATCGACTAACAACGTGAGAATTTCAACACGACGGCAATGCAGCATGCGCCTTTATAATGCAAGTCTAAACTGCGCGCTCTCGATCTGCATTTGAGTGCCTTAATCTGCTTATGGAAATGTGTAGAACAGCGGGGAATCTCTAACATCCCAGAGTGGCTCCTGCTTTGGCTAAATTGTTAATTGTCACAGTTCTTCACAATAGGTGTATCAGCTCCTGAAAAGATTCTTAATATTAAACTAAAATATATATATGTAACAACTAATTTTATATATGCAAAAAAAAAATGTTTTTAACAAACATAAATTAACAGGCACGATAAAACAAATGTAACAAACAAAGATTTGGCATGTAAGAAAAATTATTCGTATTTTATAATATATGTCATTTATATATATATTTTTTTATCAACACATTTTTTAAACTAAAGCGATATAATAAACGAATAAATTAAAATAACTAGCCTACAACAAAAAAGAAATGTGTCATTCACCCGTGCCCTCATGTTTGCGCTCAATAATTAAACGCAAATTCAGCGGCGCATCTTTACCTATATATGCATTTATAAATTAGCTCGAGAATTACACAAAACCTTCTTTATAATTATTCAAGCATTTAATCCTAAAATTGGGAGATACAAATTACTACATATTAAGAGTGAGACGGGGGATAAAGGGGAAAGACATGGAGATGTGTCCACTAGGGGCCGCACTGACTGCAGATCAAAATTTGACTCATAACCCATTTCATACAGGCTGCTTCTGAAAAATGATAACGGTTTCCACTTTATTTAGATGTTTTTAACAGTAATATATAAAAATAGCGAAGACTGGATTAGCATTTTTTATCATTAAAACAAAATAGCGAATTTAGCAATTATATAAAAAGTTAGACATAATTTAAAACAAGCCTGTCATTTTGACATTTCTAATTATTATTAATCTTTGTAATAAACGCCGCTTTAAAATTATAATTCGCATACATTTTAAGCACATTTGTGCGTATTAATTGCACTTAATTTCAACTCGTTTTAATTAATATCATCAAAGTAAGTAAATGTGAAAAACAAACGTTAGTTTGTTTGTATTTTCCAAAGTTTGCCAAACAGCCGCGAACACTCAACAAGTACGATTTTTACTATAGTACATGCATCCAATAAAACCAATAACATACAGGCTAGTGGATCGCTTGAATAAATAATGCAACTTCCAAAGTTTTAATATCAAATCAACCCCACGCTGTTTACATCTCTAATTAAATCCAGTCCCAGCAGACAGACACGCACAAACGAGCCGCACACCCAAAAGTTACTCACACTCACTTTGACTGACACATCCAAAAGTTCCCCGCGCCTGCCGGCCGGATCCTCCCATGCGCGCCCAGCGAGGAGTCGCTTTTTCCGGCCGCGCAGTTTTCCGGCAGCCGCTCTCATGATCCATAGCGTCCAGTCGCTCCGTGTGCCCGCTCAGAGTGCTCTCAGCGCGGCTGCTCTCACCCGCCTCAGCCCCTCTGCAGCTCCACGCCATCTGAAAAGGGGCCGATTGAAAAAGAAGAAGAATGCATCAAGAACAACAAAAGTCACTTATAGCAAGTCTACAAAAACCCCCACCAAACATAATGAGAAGGAGAAAGCTTTATATTTTTTCACCGGGTATTCAGAGATAATTTGAAGCCATTGTTTCTGGCACAGATGGCTCTTTTTAATACAATAACACTGTGAGCTCCACCAACAATAAAAATCTAAAGCCTTCTCCTGAATAACAGTTTTTTGTTCGCTCTTGTAAAGGGCCAACAAAAGCAGTCGTGAGGTAATGGGCTGGCTTTTTTCAAACGCAAAGAATGGCTATTTGATAAAGATTTTTTACTTCAGAAAATACACTGCCATGTCATCTGTATAGCCCGCTGCCATAAATCCAGCGCAACAAGAAACCACTGGAGCATGCATTTAAATAATCACAAACTCAAAGACACACATTTTACATTATTATGATTATTTCATATTCATAATCAATAGTAAAAACAATGCATGTATAATTGAGCAATTTTGCATTTCTGCAATCCAAATTAGCTACTCAAAAAAAAAAGAGAAAATCTATTTGGCTTAATATGCACCAAATTCAACAACAGCGGCCATTGATTTTGGTACGAATTATGCCTAATAAGATCTACAATATTTAACAAAAGAAGCTTAAATTGAAAAATAAGATGCTTTGAAGCAATGATCCCGGCCACATTCGGTGTCGGTGTCACTTTTTGGCTCTGACTGGGTCAGTGCTCTCATCGGTTTTGACAGGGTATCGGGCTAGAAAGGAACAAGGCGAAAACAAAAGGCCTCTGCAGGAAAAGTTGTTGGTTTGTGCCCGTGTTTGTCTACCTTTCTATAGGAATTACGGGCCGCCCTATACCTCCGTCCTGACAGTAATCCACTGCGCCGGCTGTGGAGGCTTTGTCTACTCATACAACACGGTTCAGTGTTAATCTCTACGGTGCTGCTACAAAAGAAAAGCAATAATGACTTCAATCAAAATACTACCCTGACTAATGAGCCCCGCGAAGAAAACGGATGGAAAATGGTGCAGATCATGTGTAGGCCGTGATAATGATAATCATAAAACAAGCGAGCGGAAATATCAGTAGTAGTTAGTGATTCATAGTTTTTTGTGTGTCAAGTTGATGATTGGATTATCAGATTACCACAGATTGCCTTATTAAACTGATCTCATGCCGACCACAGTCAGAGTCAAACATTGCACTGCTTAAATGCTTTGTTTCATCTTGTCCGATTATCAATCTAGTCCAAATGCAATGATTTTCTTGCGTAGATTTTTTAATCATGTTTCTTCTAGTCCAAATATCATTGATTTTCTTGCTTGCATTTTTTCATTTATTTATTTATTTATTTATTTATTTATTTATTTATTTATTGGTCTTGTTGCTTTGAGTCCAAATATCAATCTACTCCAAATATCAATCTAGGCTTTATTTAAATTATTTTCTTGCTTATATTTTTGCTTTTGTTTCTTCTAGTCTAAAAATCAATGAATTTCTTGCTTATTTTTTTTATTCTTCTAGTCCAAATATAAATCTAGTCCATATATCAATGATTGGTTTTGGTCTCGCTTCTTCTAGTCCAAATAAAAATAATTTTCTTGCTTAGATTTTTTTACATTTTTGGTCATTTTTCTTCTAACCCAAATATTAATCTAGTCCAAATATCAATCCAGTCCATATATAAATAATTTTCCTGCTTGTTTTTTTTTTTTTTTTTTTTTTTTTTTGTCTTGCTTCTTCTAGTCCAAATATCAATTTAACACAAATATCAATGATATTCCTGCTTGGATTTTTTTATAATTTAACACATAAAAATGATCTTCCTTCTTAGGTTTTTACTTTTGTTGGTTTTTATTTTTAGCCCCAATATTAATCTAGTCCAAATATCAATCCAGTCCATGTATAAATTATTGTCTTGCTTTTTTTGCCTTTTTTCTTCTAGTCTAAATATCAATCTAGTCCAAATATCAATGATTTTCTTGCTTAGATTTTTTTTTGGTCTCGTTTCTTCCAGCCCAAATCAGTCTAGTCCAAATATCAATCTAGTCCTTGTATAAATTATTTTCTAGCTTAGATTTTTTTTTTTGGTTTTGGTTTTTCAAGTCCGAATATCAATTTAATACAAATATCAATGATTTTCCTGCTTAGATTTTTTTAAATATTGATTCTTCTAGTCCAAATATCAATCTAGTTCCATATATCAATGATTTTCTTGCTTGTTTTTTTTTTTTTTGGACTTGTTTCTTTTAGTTCAAATATTAATCTAGTCCACATATCAATCTAGTCCTTATATAAATTATTTTCTTGCTTTGATTTTTTTATTTTGTTTCTTTTAATCTAAATATCAATGATTTTCTTGCTTAGATTTTTTTTATCTTGTTTCTTCTAGTTCAAACATCAATCTAGTCCATATAATAATGATTTCCTTGCTTGGATTTGTTTCTTTCTTGTTTCTTCTAGTCTAAATATCTAGTCATATATCAATGATTTTGTTTTGGTCTCGTTTCTTCTAGTCCATATATGAATGATTTTCTTGCCTGGATTTGTTTTGGTCTCATTTCTTCTTGTCCAAATATCAATGTGTTTCTTGCTTGAATTTTTTTATCGTGTTTTTTCTAGTCAAACATCAATCTAATACAAATATCAGAGATCTTCTTGCCTGTATTTTTTGTTCTTGTTTCTTTTAGTCCGAATATCTAGTAAATATATCAACAATTTTCTTGCTGAGATTTTTTTTTGGTCTTGTTTCTTCTTGTCCAAATATCAATAGTTTTCTTGCTTAGATTTCTTTATGTCTTGTGTCGAGTCCAAATATCTACAAATCCTTAAATCAACACACATTTTCAAGACTAACAAAACTATTGTCTTGTGTGAAGAACTAATATGTCAAAAGTAAGTGAGTTTTTCCTTAAAAAAGCTAAATCTGCCAATGGGGTTACGCTAAATAATATTACACCAGAGTTAAAAACACGATTATTTATCTTACTTTATTGGTAGATTATTTAGCTTGTTTTAAGGAAAAACACACTTAATTTTGATTCATTATTTCTGAAAATAATAAATTTTTTTATTAATTGGTAGATTTTTGGACTTGAAAGAAGATAACAAATCTTTATATATATATATATATATATATATATATATATATATATATATATATATATATATATATATATATATATATATATATATATATTGTTTGCAGTGTGAGCAGCAACCTTTAAAAGCTAGCAAAACAAACTTGCGCATCTCTACATCCGCTGCATAGTTCACTTCTGCATCGCAGTTGTCGAATACTAATGCGTTTCAGATGGAGTCGGCCTGGATTGCTGATGTATGAATGAATGGCCGTTCATTTCCATATGCATGAGTGTGTTTCTCAGTGCTATTTTGTGCGCATTATGGTTACACAAGCCGGGCTTAATGGGAGGATGACACTTTAGACCCCTGTGCTCTTCCTTTTGGGCCCCGTTGAATCTGTAATCAAGGGGAAGCGTTTCAGGGTTGGAGACCTGTCAGTCACTGCCCGAGTGAACCTGCGTGTGAACTCCTGCAAACCCTCAATGAACTGAGCTCCAGTGGGACCAGACGACTAGACACTCCCTGTGTGTGTTATTAATGCACCGTAATAGCATTTCTGTTATTAAATTAGCTCACTGCGGAGGCCATGTTACATAAATTGCTTAATCTGAAAGAAAACTAACATATATTACATTATTTTCTTATTCATGTATACAACACACTTAAAAATCTGTGGTTTGTGTGTGTGTGTGTGTTTGTGTGTGTGTGTGTGTGTGTGTAATAACAAAATATCACCAAAATCACAAAGAAAGAACAAAGTTATATATTTCAGGAGCAAAATGTACATTTTCCCAAGTATTTAAAGTAAAATAAAACTACAATGTCATTAAAATATAAAATTTAACTATTTTATAATAAAATAATAAGTTGTTGTGACTTGTTCCTGTATGCAAAATACTTAAAAATATGTGTTTGTATAACAAAATATCACCAAAATCACAAAGAAAACCATAAAGTTATATATTTCAGGAGCAAAATTTACCCCTTTTTTCCGGTATTTAAAGTAAAATAAATACTATAACGTGATTTAAATACGAAATTACACCTTTTTATAATTAAATAATAATAAGTTATTGTGACTTGTTTATTAACAAAACCTACTTTAAAAATTGTGTTTGTGTGTGTATAATAACAAAATATCACCAAAATTACAAAGAAAGAACATAAAGTTATATATTTCAGGAGCTAAATTGAAAATTTTGAGGTATTTAAAGTAAAATAAATACTATAATGTCATTGAAATATAAAATTAAACTATTTTATAAAAAATAAAAAGTTGTCGTGACTTGTTCATGTATGCAAAAATACTTAAAAATGTGTGCTTGTGTGTGTGTAATAACAAAATATCACCAAAATCACAAGGAAAGAACAAAGTTATTTATTTGAGGAGCAAAATTGACCCTTTTCGTAGTTAAGTAATAATAATAATATGTTGTTGTTGTGACTTGTTTATGTAAAAAACATACTTGAAAAAATTGTGTTTGTGTGTGTATAATAACAAAATGTCATAAAACACATTTTGCTGTAAAACACACACAAAAAGGAAAGAACATAAAACTATATATATTGCAGGAGCAAAATGATCATTTTTAATGTATTTAAAGTAAAATAAATACTACAATGTCGTTGAAATATAAAATTAAACTATTTTATAATAAAAAAAATATAATAAATAAGTTTTTATGACTTGTTCATGTATGCAAAATACTTAAAAATGTGTGTTAGTGTGTGTGTAATAATAAAATATCACAAAAATCACAAGGAAAGAACATAAACGTATATATTTCAGGAGCAAAATTATAATTTTTCCAGTATTTAAAGAAAAATAAATACTATAATGGGGTTTAAATAGGAAATTACACCTTTTTGTAATTAAATAATAATAATAATAATA